TACTTGAGATTTTTACTGCTATTCACATTTGACATTTGGACAAATAGAAAAGGGTCTAATTTATCTTCCTATTCTAACATACTAAAAAATATTCTTTCCACATACAGACTATTTTTTACAAAAAAAATTGAGAGGATTGCACTTTCACTGGGGACATTTATATAGGCAATTTTAAAATTCTATGTGTATTTTGTAAAATGTTCTCATACTTTTAAATAACTTAGAGAACTTCAGATGAAAGCTCTTACAGAAATGCAAATTATGGCTGATTATATTTGAATGTCATTTTCCAAAACAGCAAGGATGGAATTAAACAACGAAGCTTAGGAGACAGTAAAAATGATTTAGAAATTCTGACCCAGGTGAAGGCAAAGTGGTGCTCTCTGTGTTTATTGAGGGCAATATACTTTCATAGCTAGTGGAGCTTGACTCCTGAGTTATTGTTCATAGCTGAGACTAATATTATAGCTTTCACTGTGGAGGTTAATTTGAATTGAGTCAGCGTTAAACTTTCTCACTAGACTGATCTTGTCACAGTTAAAAGAAAGCGCCGTGTTTATTTTGTCCCCTGAGCCTTCGTTCATCTGTTCTTCCTCCTTGGAAGTGTCATACATCTTCATCCCCACCTGCCAGCTAAAGCCTGTCTTCTCTCTGACACCTTGTTTGACCTCCTCTGTCCCTACTGAGTTCTATTTGCTCGGTCCCCTTGTAGCATTGTTCATGTACAGACCTAACCATGTTCTGCCCTGTATTGTCAGGCACTTTTGGAAATAGTGAGGTCTTGTTTCAATAAATGATATTTTGTGCGCCTGGAGGGACAGTGTCGTAACTCCTTGGTGCTCTGTGCATTGTAAATATACTTATTATATATTTACAATCATACAGTTTATGGCTGAGTAAAAGCTTAGAGAAAAGATTTGGTCCAATTGCGTCATCTTATGGACAAGGTAAATGAAGTTATAAGGAAGTAAAGCAGTTTCTCCTAAGGGTTATGGCTACTTAGTGTTATGGGTAAAGCCAGGACTAGAAGTTAGATGTTCTGATTTCCAGATTAGTACGATTTCCACTCTTCCTTCCTTCCTTGCATCCTTCATTTGACAAATATTTATTGAGCATCTACCAGGTGGCAGGCAATCTGCTAGGCCCTGACACTGCAGTGTTGAGCCTGTCTTGGAACTTATGCTTGATCAGGGAGGAAGAGAGTAACAAATATCACACAAATAGCTGTACACCAGCTACTGAGATAAGTGCTGTTAAAGATTATGTAGTTCTGTGAGAGTAGGTAATGGAAGATTTCCTTGAGAAACTCACTTTGACTTGTAAGACTTGGCATTGTATTTATGTGTACTTTTAAATGCAATTAAATCAGAAAAATACTTGTGTCTGCTCACTTTGTACTGGGCCTGAAAAGAAATTAGAGTCAGCAGACTACAGCCCTTGCCCTCAATTTATAGTCCAGAAGAGGGATAAGTCAAGACGTAACTACTAACCTTAAGCAAAATGTAGAAGTTCCATGGTTCAAAAGACGCAAAGATCGCGTTTTTTAGAGAGGAGGAAAATCAGTAATAACTTCCTGTAGGAGATAGCATATGATACAGCCCCTGAACAAAAGCTAAAGAAGATACAAAAAGAAGAGGGATGTCAGAAAAAGCAAGCAGAGATAGACCAAGATAGGAAATTATAGGAGTTTTCTAGCAGTAGAAAGTAGTCTCATTTTACAGGAGCAGGCTCTTGGTGGAAAGTTACAACTATACACTGTTGAGAACGTTGTCTTTATTTAAATGCCCTTAGAGTCAACCGAAATTAAGGATGGAAATGCAAATATTTTTTCTTGTTCCAACTCCTGGAGCACATAATCCTCTGCTTTGTTTGGTTGCCATCTATATGGACTGTTCCCCCACCCCAACCCGCCGTGGGAACTATGGCTAATTCTCTAATTGCTATATTACCTAGCATCTCATTGGGGTCCAATAAACATTTCATCATAATAGTGAAAAGTGTCTGGTATGTTGAAACTGTTTTCTCTGGCATAAGCTAACTTCTCTAGAAACAGAAACAGAAATCCTTCCAAATGACATGGCTGGCCTAGTGTAGTAAGTATCAAATTCATTTTTTAAATACTACCTAAAGTATGTCACCACATAGCTTTTACCTAATTCAGAGAGAAGTGTCAACCATTTCTCCCTATGGATAGTATAATAGTTTGTCTAAATATTATTGCAGAAAAGTGCTGAAAAATTACTTATTCATTAGCATATGTTAACCAATGGCCAGCTTCTGTGCAGGACATAGTGTTATTGGTCAGGCTTATTAGGGAAGCAAATGGAGAAGAATCTTTTAGAACAAATGTTGCAAATGAGTAGCCCCCAATCCAACTCAGGCATACATATACTTTATTTATCTTTTATAAGGCTGCCAAGATTTAAAATTAGGGATATTTCACAGAAAAAATATAGATTTTTGGCTTTCCTTGAAATATTGGAAAATCTGGCAACCATAGGCCTACATTACCAATGGCAACAATTGGTTGGAGCTAAATAGCAGCTGCCCTCTTTAATTAGGGCGCGTGTTTTTCAGTGTGCCGCAGTTCCCATCACTCCCTATTGCCTGTATGCAGCCTCTTTTACTCATTTCAGTGGCTTCCTGGCCCTTAGGAACATCTTTTAATGACCCTTGTTTTGGAGTGACTGTTGCCTCTATGGGTCTCTTCTCTTTGGTTTCCCATGGCAGTCCTATGGCCAGCCAGGCAATTAATTCTGATCACAAGAACTAGCATCTGTGTGGGACTTTATAGTTTGCAGTGGTTCTCAAACTTTTGCATGCATCAGAATCATCCAGAGAGCCTCTTCAAACAGATTCCTGAGCCTCATTTCCAGAGTTCCTGATTCAAAGGTTTGAAGTTGGATCGGAGAATTTGCATTTCTATCAAATTCCTGGGTGATGCTTCTGATGTGTAGACCACGTTTTGAGAATCACTGACCTACAGTGTTGTAACACAATACAAAGCCGCATGAGGCTGGTGAGGCAGTATGTTCCCCACCAGAAAAAAATGCTTGGAAAGATTAAGCAACTTCCCCTGGGTCATAAGAAGAAGAAGAAGAGTTAGATTCAAAACCCTGTCTTGCGTGTATAGCCAACAGGAAACCACCCTGTATATCCCCGCTTCTGCCCCCAGCTGCCCTCCAAGATCCACAGAAGCCTCCAGAGAACCCTATAACACAGATGTAGCGATAGGGGCTCTAATTTAGGATTATCCCAGGGTGATCACTGTGATATCTCAGGACACAAAGAGTTAGAACTTGTTTCATACTCAGTGAGCAAGGACAGAAAGGCAGGGGTTGAAACTTGACATTAGACATAGCTGCTGAGGTATGAGACATACCTGCGGGCCAGAGTGGAGCAGGCCCACACTCCAGTGCTTTGTGCTTGGTGGAGTTCCAGTTCAGCAGGCAGAAGGCAGAGTAGATGGGTCCAGTACAGTCCTTGGTATACAGGGAGTTCAGCATTGACTAACAGGTGCTACAGAGCCACGTGGAGCACAGCACTGGGGATTCATTGGGGGAACCAGTGATATTGTTTCAAAGGGTGAGTCTCATGGGGGACTGTGATGGAGGTAAGCCCACCTGGAGTGGGACTTGAGTACAGGAATCCAGGCTGGTAAGATTGCTGGTGGGATAACAAGGCGCATTGCCTGGATAGGATCTGGGTACAGAAGGCAACTATGGGATCCATTTTCCAAGATTGAGGTCCAGGGCAGAGTTAGGGCTTCTCAGTTATTAGATCTGACTGTCAAGGTCAGAGCACAACTAGCAAGAAAGGTGATTTCTTCAGTCTCAGCATGTTGGGCTTCTTAAAACCTTATTTGAGTCAAGATTAGTCTAATGACATGAGGCTCTTCCCACTTACAGGAAGAGAAAGAAGGTAAAGATTGGAAACCAGACAGTGCCTAACATGGATTAAATGTATTAAAATTCTATCTCCTTAAAACTCGATGAAATGAATAATTAGGTCATCGTGTGATCATGATAGCCATTCACTAAGCTAGTTCAAAAGTTTGTATTTCTCTGCAAAATCAAGACTGTTTCAATAAATTATCAGCCATCTGCCTCCAGTTTCCAATGTAATTAGTTATATTTGTTTATTTGCTTATTTATGTGATTGTATAAATTGCTTATGTTATATCCATGAAACCTATTTTGATTGGAATTGTTAGGCAGTGGTGTATTGTGGTCAGTCTGAGGATTGACCATACAACATTTTGATTTCAATCTTACTGAAAACATTTTTTAAATCTCCTTACCTCTTTCCGGCTAAATGTGATATATTGAAAATAATGAAGTCCTTTTTTCTTGTTAAAAAATTGAATAGGCTTCTCAATCTGATAATATAGATAAGGCAGATATGAAGTAAATATTTTGGAAGTTGGAGTGTGTGGGAATAAAGAGGGAATGGTTACTGTTGTTTAAATTAAATCATTAATATTAACTGTTCTTCTAGTGTTTTTACACCCTATCCTAAAGGTGCACTATAGAAACTAATTCTGATTAGTTGAGGAGTCTGATTGGGTTTCTGGTAAGATGTAACACTCATAGGCTGGGTATATTATGTATTTGATTTTAATAAGCTATAAACAGAGAGGGGATAATTATTCCTGTCTTTTTTCCCATTAATAATATTAACTGTTTTAGGATTATGATAGTCACCTAAAAGCAGTCATATGTGTAGCATGACATCCTCATTGTTCTGATGGGAGCTGAACACTTTGCTTTCCTCTAATCAGCTTTAAGTAGCCTCCAGGTTTACTCTAGAGGGAAAAATTGGGGACTGAATTCTCTCTAAGAATAACAAAAATGTTTGCATTACTTTATTATAAACGAGTTTGAAAGCCAGACTGGAAAGAAAGACCTCAGTTTGCACAATGTGATGTGCAAACCAAAAGCAATTTTCAGTGATGGAAAGAAGTTTAAAACTGCTGTTTTTTTGTTTTTTTTTTTTAACAGGCTCATGCACAATTAGTTCGAGAAGTTGATGTGGAGAAGGTGTCTGCTTTTGAGAATCCATACGTAGATGCAATAAAGAGTTTATGGAATGATCCTGGAATCCAGGAATGCTATGATAGACGACGAGAATATCAGTTATCTGACTCTACCAAATAGTGAGTATTCATCCGGAGGCCCTTTAGACCTTTCTCTTCACTTTCATGTGCAGATGCTCAGCAGGGGTAACTTCTGCGTCCTGTGCTTTGTACATAGTGTCTAATTCAAACCACAAAGTTAGGAAGTATAGATATTAAACATGTGCCAACTTCATAAATTTAGACTATAGACTGGCATTGTGAGTCAGGGAGAGTATTTCTTTTACTATTTTCTGTTTGAAAAACTGAAGACTCTAGGAATTTGATTTCAACAACCCGTCTCTTCCCCCAAATTGTAAACCAGTGATTCTCAAACACATACTCCATTGTGATTTGAAATCTTGTAATAATAATTTTTCATATAAATTTCTGATCTTACTCGTGTGCTAGAAAACACCTACACACACTAAGAACTGCAAACAAATATGCTTGATTATGGCTTCTAAAACATCAGACTTCCTAGTTTCTAGTTTCCAGACACAGAATCTTGACTGCTTTCTGGGAGCCACTATTGTGTTGTTGCATAGGTTTGCCTTTGCATGAAAATTGCATGTGAGTCTAATTTTGCATGCATTCCAAAATTATTTTGTGGGCTGTCAATCAAAATCCTGTGTCCCAGGAGAGATTTGCATCCTAGACAGATTTGTTAGCTCTCTAGATTAAATCTCGCCTAACAGAAAGAAAGTAAAGATTTGGCAATCATCGGATTAATGTAATCAATGTAGTCATCAATCTAGATAATCAGGCGCCTGAAAAATGGATTTTTTTTTAGTATTTAGCCAGATTTCTGTCTACATTAATTATGTTAACCCAGCATTTGCCTCTTGTGTTGGTTCTGCGCAGACAGAAGAATGGATGGAAAATATTCAGCAGCCTCAGGCTAGTGCATATGATGAAATAATCTGCTGGATGAGAGCAGACCCATGGGGACAATAAGGAGCCCCATAGGCTGATTGGCATCACTCATTGATGCATAGAAGATCCAAGAGCTATTCAGCTCTGTTTTTTCAATAAAGTTGATCATGCTTTTATCCTAGCTCCGGGCATTTGTATAAGATAAGTTATGATTCGGGTCAGCCACAGAAATGTTGCCTGGTCAAAACAGTTCTTGTATTCTTAAGGCAAATTTGAATTACATGATTCTGGAATGTGATGTAGAATGTGATGTAGAATGCTCATGAGCACTGTGTCTATCATATTTTAGCTAATATTAACCCCCTTCTGTGCCTCTGAAATGTGTACTCTACTCATTCCTTATTTTCTGTCTTTCTTCCACACCTTCACTCACACTTCCTATTCCCAGTCTTTCTCTTCTGTCTGCCTGTCTTCCTCCGCCCCTCCTCCCTTTCTCCCTCACTCTCTCCTTGCCTCCCTCCGTCCATCTTTTCCTGCCTCCTAAACTCCTACTATATAAGTTTCTGTGAGTACAGAGATGAAAAAGATGCATTCGGCTCTTATCTGTTCCAAATTCTACCCCCTCAACCTTTGACCAGCTGTCTTTCTTTTACTTCCTGCCCCCTCTGTCCTTCTGTTTCCTTTGCCATTTCCAATTTCATCAGTCTCCCCGTGTTGCTGTTCCCTGTTCCTGCTTGTTATGTCTTCTCCTATCTGCCAGTTTACCCCTCCACCCTCATCTTTACCCCTCCACCCTCATCTTTGATTCTCTCCTGTAACTCCTCTCTACTTCTCTCTTTGCTACTGTGATGCCTCTCCTGGCCCTTACTAATGAATAAATTCTCCGTTACAGAGTTATACTTACTAGTAAACTCTCCACCCCTTATCATTTCTAACCCCTATCTTTTACTTTTATTGTAAGTCCTGTCTCTCCCTCTCCTCCCCTGTTCTGTTCTTTACCTGTCACCTGTAACTATTCTCCCTACGCAGAGGTCTTGCTATTGGGGCATCAGAGCATCAGTGTCTAATAATTATGCACTTCCTAGGGTTAGGGCTCCCCCTTAGGATATAGTTTGCCTCCTGCTCCTGGGATGGACCCTCTGAGAAATTCCTTTTTGCCCTGAGGACACCCGTATCAGCTACTGTGGTTGTGTTCTTGAGACAAAGCTCCCCCACATGGCTGGTGAAGCCGTGGCCTTCAGTTTTAGATCGGTGATTCCTAGACAGGTACTCATGTGTTAGTGTGAGAATTGGATGCTGCCACAGCTCCTTGCTGAGGGGCAAAGAGCTATCAAAGAGAGTTTCTCCAGACTCCTGGTAGTGCTGTGATTCTGGGAAAGCCACTGTAGAATTCTGTCGTACAGGCTGCGTCTACCATAGAAACACGCCTGCTCTTTGGGCACATCCCTTATGCTAGAGCCAGACAAAGATGTGGGGGCACCTGGGACAGGCAGACCTAAACCCTTTCAAATGACGATTCTTTAAACAATTCTACTTTCCCTTAATGGGCATGGGGAGAAATTGGTTTTCTAAACTATATATATGTGGGTGTATGTATATGCACATACACCAAGTTCTTTTTTATCCATATTTTTATGCAGAAGTAATAAAGTAAATTATAGCTCGTCCTTATACCCACATTTCAGTATACATCTCTTTAAAAAAGCAGGATATTTTCCTGTATAGTAAATAATACCATATTACGCCTAAAATTAATCATCAGTCCTTTTAATCACTCTATACCCAGTTCATATTCAGATTTCCCAAAATCTTCCAAAATGTCCTTTAGCACTGGGCAATTTTAGGACTACACATTTTATTTGGTTGTTTTTCCCCTTAAGGCTCTTTTAATCTGTTAGAGTCCTGTTTGCATTTCACTGGCATGTTGGAGAGATTGGTCTGATTGCCGCCTCATGGTATGATTCAACATGCTTCTGTGTCTCTGGGATCTACTATAAATAGGAGGTTACATTTAAAGACTTGATTGGATTCAAGTTAAACCTGAGTAGAGTAGGTTGCATTTTAAGTGATGTTGTGCCCTGGTTTACCCATTATTGGTGAAGTTAAGGTTCACCACAGTATTAGGGCGCTAGCACCCTCCATTATAAAGTTGTATTTTTTTCCTCCTGCCACCGAAAGCAATCTGTGTGGTGTTACTTTGTCACTGAGTGATCTCTGGTTCCCAACAACTCCTCACCTGATGGCTTTAATTCTAATTGATGATTCTTATTTGATTTAATAATTCCATCAGGATTTGTAACAATGATTTTCTACTTGTATCAGTTGGTCTACATTGGCATTCTTCTGTGAAGTAGATTTTCTCCTCAACTAGTGCTGTTGGGTTCTCCTGAAATACATTTCCTATTGAAAGGTGTATGTTTGAACCTTTTCGTTAACAGTAATTTGTTACATAGACTAAATAGATGGTGACTGTATAATTTATCATCCAAACCAGGACATTTTGAGAAGGAAGGGGTTGCTATTAATAATTATGCTGAACTAGCAGGCAGGGACTGGGAATCTCCTGGTTAAGCCAGGACATTTGGTCATCTTAGCTAAATGAAGCCTAGGAAGGTGTTTTGGTTTTGGTTTTTAGCTCCTGTTTATTGAGCACTTACTATATGTTAGATTCTGTGCTTAGTCGTTAACATGCATTACTTCATTTAATCCTCAAAGCCACCCAAAGTGGTAGATATTTCTTTTTTTTTTTTTTCTCCTTCATTTTCTCTGGAAGACTCTGTTTATTTCAAGGGGAGTAGAACCAATTTATTCCTGCTAGTTATATAAGGAGTTGTAAGTGGAAACCTGAGTTAGCTGGCCCGTATTTCTGATCTCTTCCTGGGATGTTTCAGAACTCTTTATATATCAGTGCCTGAGCAGCCCAGCTGGCCTGCCTTTAATCCCGCTGTGTCAGGGGGCCTGAGTGTTACAGTCACCTTATTCTTCCCCATCTTAGGCCTGGGCACTTTTTCTTAGCCAGGAGAACCTTTCTGGCATCAAGATGAGACTGGTGGCTTTTTGGATTCACCCGTGTGCTGCTGCTGTGTTCCACGCGTTTCTCCAGTGTGGTCCCAGCGGATGCTCTGAACTGCAGGAGGAACACTGATGAGGCTGTAGGTCCCATATCTTCAGCATCACTAATTCCTAATACTGAATTCATTTTCACAGAATAACGCAAAATATTTCCTTTCTCTGTATTGGAGATAGTTGTTACCTCTTTTCCTTTTTGGTTTTTTTTGTGTGTGTTCCCCTGATGTATCTTTAGTATTTTTTCTTGCCTCCTTTACTTCATATGAGGTTTCTATGTTGTTCTTTCTATCTTTATAATTAAAATAAAAAATACTTCATTGATATTCTGGACCTAATTTCTTATACAATATCATCACCTTTCAGAAATCTTTCTGAATATAGGACCAGCTTCTCTGAGTACTGACTGTCTCTAGTTATGGTTCTTCAGTTTAGATTTTGGGAACATGTAGATATCTAATCTCTAGCAGTATGAGAACTGGGGCCTGCCACGCACATCTGCTTCAAGTTTGCAGCATAACAGCTGTTCCCTCCAAGATCCTGCTGTCAGTGCAGGCCACTTGCCAGGGATACTGAGAGCAGAGGCCAAGCATGCCTCTCTTCTTCTTTTCTATCTGGTGAGCTCCTATTCATCCTTTAAGACCCAATTCAGGAGTCACACCCTCTGAAAGAAAGTCTTGCCCAACACCAAAGATAGTGAGTCACTATGTCATCTGTCGTAACACTTCGTACATAATCTCCTTTGTAACTCTTATCATGTTTATTAAAGTATCTCTCTCCTCTTCTCTCAGTGCATAATGGTGACTGTTGATGTTTGACCTTCACAAATGATTGTTCCATGAAATAGTAGATGGGTAGTTTCCACTATTTCAATGACCATGATGGAGGCGCTCTCTTTGGCCATTATTGATGAACTATGAAGTTTCAGAGCTGAAGGCATTAAGTCTTTTTTCCTGCTGTTTTTCAAGGTCTGGGATCTGGAAAACTCTATTTTCAAAAACAATAATAGCTGCTATTTACTGAACACTTACTATATGTTAGATTCTGTGCTTAATCGTTAACATGCATTACTTCATTTAATCCTCAAAGCCACCCAAAGT